GTATGATATTAATTAATCGAAATGTAAGTTTATAGTGGCATGTTTTTAATGGCGTAGCAGAAGTAATGTTGTGCATTAAGTGCCTTCACAGATGTGTAAGTTGAGGAGTTAAATTTTCCTTAACAGTTGTGCAGGATGCAGGGCCGAAGGAGGGTAAAAACCACCTCATCACCTACATACAGGTCAGTCAGTACCTCATCCCTCCACAATGACATCCAAAACCTTTCCCCCACAGTTCAGGTGAAGATCCAGAATAGGTGTCATCCTCACACCATGCAACTAGAAAATGATAATTCACAAAATCAATACAGTTCTGTTCGTCAGTTATGTTCCTGGAGTTCCTCAAAACTTTTATTTTATTTAGTTCATCAAATTTAGGTTAATTCACCTGACTTGTTTTTCCAAATAAGGGAGATGTCCAAAATATGCAGTGTTGGGAGGCTCTTGGACCAGTGTTGAAATCACACTGCCATTGTGATACACAGAGAAAGACATTCATATAGATAGATAGATAGATGTTTGAATGGACAAAAATAATATTTACTTACTTCTATGATGTGCCCTTGGAGGCTGAGGTATGAAAAATGTCCTCTTCTTCACCAGTCATGTTGGGAGAATGGATTAAAACGAAGTAATTTAGATTAAATTAAAGAGAAATTGAGAAAACAGTAAAAAGCAACAAACTTAACCAATGTCCCTTTTCAAAATGTAATTAACATTAGTTGATTTACTGCATTGGATCTGGGGATGCCACACTCTGAACTGGATCCAGTGATTCCCGATTTTCAACTGAATCCAGGCATTCTACAGTAAGGAAACGTCTATGAATATGCCTGACTTTTAGTTTCAGAGGGAGCTGCTTTACCAAGTCGTCAGTGGTGCCTGCACAGAAATGAGCTGAGCATGATGAGCATCCCTATTCTGGATATGTGTGTTGTGCAGCATATATTGTGTACCTTGACAGTCGTGTGGTTAGAAGAGACACATTTTCCTTTCCATCTGGTGTAATGTTGGCCTTTTGGTGAGTGAAGCCTGTGCTATACTTTTCGCATGAGCAATCCGGACGCGTACACGGACAGCACGGACGCGGACTACTTGCATTTATAATTCCGAAAGCATACGCTGATGGTCTGCTCCGCGGACGTGTTCCATACATGCGTAGTAGATCGGCTTGGACAATAAAAAAAAGTGAGATTAGGCTTTTGCAGCATATGGAGAAAAATGGCTTATCCATATGACCTTTAAGATAAATAATATGTAGAATATGAAAACACAACACTTTAAAATTATATGTATGACAGATCACAACTGTCGATTATTCCCTTGAAATTGTAATTGTAATTATTCATTACGATTGTCACAATTTACAATGAATGATGGTTTGAGTAGTTTTATAGCATTTTCTGAAGCAACTGCATGCCATATATTATATGAAAATAAGCTGAAAACAGTCTTTCCTGAAAAAAAAAACTTTTCTCGCTTTTCTATAGCATTAAGCCTCAAAGTCCCATTTGCTAGCATGAGTCAAAAGAACCAGCTCCCATGTCTATACGATGTTCTGATGCAAAGATATAGGTCTTGCTAAACTGTTGCTAGGGTACTCTGTTTGGTTACTAAGGAGTGCTTTAATTGAAAAAAATATATATATGTAAGAAAATAAAAAAAATAAAAATATATATACATGGTATTATAATGTGTTATAAACTAAAATGAATAGAAAATCAATGGGAAAACCATTAAGATAACATGTAGAACGAAAAAAAAAAAAACATAAGCACAGAAAAATGTAAGTGGATTTTTTTTTTTTGTAACCACCTTTGAATGGATTACATAATTGTGACCTCCATAATTGTAATCATGATTAGAAATTTGATTAATTGTGCAGCCCTATACATATACACACACACACACACAATCACCAGTCAGCCACTTCAACAAAGAAAACCAAATTTGTTAGATTTGTGCCAAAGCACTGTGACATGCTTTAAGTGTGAGGGACAAATGCAGTGCTTTGGCACAGATCTAACGAATGTGGTTTTCTTTGTTGAAGTGGCTGACTGGTGATTGTGTGTGTGTGTATATATGTATAGGGCTGCACAATTAATCAAATTAATGAAAGATTAATGAATTTCATGAATTTGGGTGATGAGTCCAGTACATGTTTAAATCAGTTAGCAGTCTAGTCAATGTAATCTCTGCATTCTCTGCATTTGTTTAGGTGCCAAGACCGAAGTATAGAAATACAGGAAAAAAGGTAGACACTCAAAAATCTTTAAAATATTTATTGGCTCATAACAGGAGACATTAGACAAACATTTCAGCTAACCACCTGTTTTTATTTACTTGAATTTTGTGGATTGATTATGTAATTACAAACACCTGACCATATGTAATATTGTACATAAGATTTCTGGGAAGTATTCAAGTGATACTTTTCAGCTAACCACCGCCTTCAGTGTTTGTCTAATGCCTCCTGGTATGACCCAATAAACATTTTGAAAGAACTTTTTTTGAGTACTGACCTCTTTTTGTTGTTTGAAGACCAGCTAATAGTCATGCGACACCGTGCACATCATACCACCCATCATTAGGAACATGCAAACTACATTTTATAATGCCATCTACAGCCTTCAAAGAAGCCACGTCATCCTCTGAAAGTGCCAGAGTTGCTGTCAGTGTGGAATGTGCAAATCCACTAAACTCTTTCATCTTCGACACTTCTTTTAGTCCTTGGGCTGCTTCAACAACCTCTTCAATGTCAGCTCTTGAAGGCCAGTGTCATCTCTTTGACTGGAAAACATTTTTAATTTGACTTTAATTACACAAAGTTGGTCTTAACAAATAGTCAGTGTTGGGAAGGTTACTTTGGAAATGTAATAGGTTACAGATTACAAGTTACCCTATTTAAAATGTAATAGTAGTGTAACTTTTTAAATTACTTTATTAAAGTAATGTAACTGATTACTTTTGATTACTTTTTGATTACTTTTCAAAATTTCTAATGAATGTTTATTTGCAACTGTTAATCATTTTCAAACATTTACACCATGCAGGGTTAACCTTACAGTAGTGCTCAACACTGTCAGACCTTCAAAATCCTTCATCACTTGAATTAAGATGATCAAATTTGAACACATCCACCACGAAATCAGACTTTAGTACCACCTTTTACTTTGAGATTGATCTGAAGTTCAATGCAGATTTAAAATCATAAGAAATAGTTTACTGATACTGTTTTTGAAACCAAATCTTTGCATAACTACAGGAAACACTGCATCTAACAATAAAAAATAATAATAAATAAAAGCATATACATCAACTCAAATACGGTTATCTAATAAGCATGTGTCCTATTCTGTGTACAAACATAAGCACAGAAAAATGTAAGTGGATTTTTTTCTTTTGTAACCACCTTTGAATGGATTACATAATTGTGACCTCCATAATTGTAATCATGATTAGAAATTTGATTAATTGTGCAGCCCTATACATATACACACACACACACACAATCACCAGTCAGCCACTTCAACAAAGAAAAACAAATTTGTTAGATTTGTGCCAAAGCACTGTGACATGCTTTAAGTGTGAGGGACAAATGCAGTGCTTTGGCACAGATCTAACGAATGTGGTTTTCTTTGTTGAAGTGGCTGACTGGTGATTGTGTGTGTGTGTATATATGTATAGGGCTGCACAATTAATCAAATTAATGAAAGATTCATGAATTTGTGGCTGACTGGTGATGAGTCCAGTACATGTTTAAATCAGTTAGCAGTCTAGTCAATGTAATCTCTGCATTTACTCAGTTAGTTTAGGTGCCAAGACCGAAGTATAGAAATACAGGAAAAAAGGTAGACACTCAAAAATCTTTAAAATATGTATTGGCTCATAACAGGAGACATTAGACAAACATTTCAGCTAACCACCTTTTTTTATTTACTTGAATTTTGTGGATTGATTATGTCATTACAAACACCTGACCATATGTAATATTGTACATAAGATTTCTGGGAAGTATTCAAGTGATACTTTTCAGCTAACCACCGCGGATGACAGATAGATAAATAGATAGAAACTAGGAAGAAACTAGTGGTATTTTTGATTATGTTCAGGAGCCAACATCCTAACTTTCTATCTATTTCTATCTGTCGAAACGAATGAATCCGGCTGTCCAAGGGCCTCTTTGGCTTTACTGATGATTGAAGCCACACAAGCCTCAAAAAGCCTGTTCCTGTACAATTACAGATACCAACGACATTGTCAATATGCAGTGTTAGTTAGAACTGTTTAGCTGCCAACAGGTGTGACATCATAATGTTTGCATGCAAAGGAAGGACATCCAGACACTATACGAGTATTATAATTGAGTTCTATAAACAATTACTGTAAAAACTATAACTTGGGAGGTTTAGCAAGGAGTCAAATCTTTAATTGATCACCTCTGGAACGTTTTGGTCATGGTGGCTCGTGGAATTGGACACGAGGAGGAGCTAGCAGCAGCACTACCAGAGCGATGGAAAGAGAAGTGGACAGAATGATCTGACGAATTTGAGCAAAAAATGCAAATAAGAAAATGAGGCTTAATCCGTATTATTTTTTTTTTTGTCATTTTGGATTTGGGAAGGAAAATTGAAAAATCGCAATGAATGATACACAGATTCTCAAGGAATGTCATAATTTGAAAGTATTTCCAGACTTTCTGGCTCTCTGCTCCTGACCCACTCTTCTTCTCTTTCGTGGCTCTCCTCTCTTTTATGTATTTATCCCTGAGGTTTTTCCTCACTCCTTCAACTATCAAGAGAAAAACAGTAAGAAAAAATAAAAAAGTTAATACACTGAAACAAATAAGAACATTGTGGATGAGGTCACCAAGTTCACCTGAGATGTGTTGGTGTGTAACGTTCAGCCCTATCGGTCGAATCTACATCAGCTAAAATGGGGTCAGTACTTTTTCAACATTGTTATAAAAAAAAAAAAAAAAAAGGAAATTAAAATTTTTGAAAAACTCCTCCATTTGTTCCGCCATGCCGATTCCGAGTTTCTCTGTAAAACAAACCATCAGGTTAGTCTACCATCAACTGCAGCATTATTAGAATTAAGATTATAAACTGATTCTTACCAAGCAGGTCCATGAGCTCCCCATCCTCAGCTGGTGGGACAGACACCTGAGGGGACGAGGCCCCCACTTCAGCTAGTGGGGCCAACACCTCAAGCAGTGCAGCCCCCATCTCCTGAGGTGGCACAGTCCCCATCCCAGATGGTGGGGCCCCCACTTGAAGTGGCGCGGCCCCCACCCCAGCTGGTGGGGTCCACACCTGAGGTGAAGGCCACATCCGCAGACCTGAGTGGGTGGGGCCCAGAATTGAGGAGGTGGAGTCCATCCCTGAAAAGGCTGAGCTGCACCCAGAAGGGCCTCTTGTGTAGCCGGTGGGGCCTCTGGTCCAATTGGAGGGGCTTCTGGTGCAGCTGGTGGGGCCTTGATTTCGGCAGGGGGCTAATCCTCCTGGTCCAGGACTGTGGCCAGCGATATATCTGGATTAGTGGCTCGGAGAGCCCTCGGATACAGTGAACCTCCACTTTTGGACACCTGAAACAGACATTTCTTGTTAATCCTTAAATTGCTAATACACGTAAAGCTATTTTTCATATATCATTCATTTAAAGCATAAGTGGTCAAAACTTACCGAGAGCTCTTTGTGAGCTTTGTGGACGTGTCGGTCGCTGTAAATGCAGACCTTGCTGCAAATTGGGCAGGACTCGTTATGCAGTGGGACACTGGAACGGGCCATTTTTAGTAAAAAAGTCCCCTTCCTCTAAGTTCATCACAAAATGAATGAGTGGTGCTGGCGGAGGTTTGCATATTCTTTGTGGCAGAGCGGACACTTCACCATTTTGATTCAACTGAAAAACACAGAAACATGTTGGTTTGAAGCCATAAAACTGTATAAAAAAACTGCATAAAAACCACCTCTACTGTACTCAGGACACTCAACAGAACCCATTTATGCAACTTTCAGGACATAAAATTGTGTAATTTGCATAAAAAAAGAATGTCCACGGAACCACTATGAAGGATAAATTGCAAATGGGATGTTTCTTTATGTTTGGTTAAAAATAACATTCATATTAGGGCCAGGGCCTAAGGGTTTCGAATTCTTGACCGTAGCCGCCTCAGATACGACATGGAAAAGGGCCAAAGTCCTCAGCGTTTGGGAAGACCTTTAAAAAAAAAAATCAGTAAACATATTCAGCGAAAAATACAGACATGTGTCGAATTCGGCTCGATCGGACCCTTCCAAGTCATGTCCGTGAACCCACTACGGTAAGCCCATTCAAATAAATTGAAAGTGGGACTTTTTTGGAAGGTCCCAGGGGGCCCAGATTGCACACGGAATTACGTCAGGAGCCCTGGAGCGACGTGCCGAAAGGGCCCGGGCCTGGGACCCTGAAAAGTATTTTTCCTGATTAGTCACAACAGAAAAGAGAAAAATAAATGTTTTAAAACTCAAGAGAATGTTATTTCATTTTTGAAGCAAAGACCAGAAAATTGCCTTATATGAACATATTGGCTGAAATGCCAGCTGTAGTTTTTTTTTTGTGTAAATATAAAACATATAAAATGCAATTAACAATTAGCAAATAATTTACAATATAGTAATCTTATTTACTTTTAAAGAATGGAAAGGTTTTTCAGAAATATATTTTAAAAAGTCTTTAAGTTTTTCAGAAGAAAGGAAACAGTACTGTTCTTTTTGAACACAACATGTCCAGTCTTCTTTTAAGTCACTTTTCCTTTCTTGGGTTTTGATGAAATTTCAGGGTTGACATTGAGAAAGTGATTATGTACATCTCTCTCTCTCTCTCTCTATATATGTACAGTATATGTAGACAGCACAGAGAATTGCAACACTTGCAATGTGATTACATGACTACATGATAATGTTAAATATGCAATTTATCATTCAGCTCTATAATCAACTGTATAAAATGTTTGTGAAAAAATACTGAAGTTCTTTACAAATACTGTCAAGACCAGTTAGTGACAATTCACTCTATCATATATATCAATGGCAAATATGCTAATGTCTAACCTCAGTCGCAAGGGTGCATGCAGCCTCTTCCTGATACTGGAGGTTGAAATCATACAATAATACAAACAGCACTTGCAAGGCCAGAGACAAAGTTGGGCTGTGCTCCTTCACGCACAACTTGACCTTCCATGCTCAACATCTACCGCTGGTGGCTTAGAGATTGACCTGAAAATGAAAAATAAAAGAAAATACTTAGGTTCCATTGTGGTTCTGTTTAGCTGTCTATACATAGTTCAACATGACTGTTAAACAAACTCTGAAATTTGTGCAGGGAAATCCCATTTACAGGGCCCACCATTTCATTTCTTTTAGCCAAAGCAGCATTTTTGGGTAGTGTTCATCTCTATGGTGCAGTACTGTTTTCTTGAAATCTATCTTAAATGAATTTGATCATTGATAATGTTTTGCAGACTGCATTGAGCTAAGAGACAGAGATGAACATCCTAGGGATAGTTTATCAAAAATGAAAATCACATCATTTACTCACCTGGCATTGCCATTCTTTCTTTTTCGGACCACAAAAGGAGAAATTTACAAAAATACACCACACGCACTCGTACATACCACAGCAGTAAATAGCGACCAGCACCAACTTCACTTACAGATAGCTACAGACCTGTCTCTCTCCTTCAGTTCATAGCAAAAATCTTTTGAACGAGTTGTTTTCAACCAGGTATCATTGTTTCTTTCAAAGAACAACAAACTGGACGCTAACCAGTCAGGTTTCAGGAGTGGCCATTCAACCGAGACTGCGTTACTGTCAGTTACGGAAGCCTTGCGAATGGCAAAAGCTTATTCCAAATCATCAGTTCTTATTCTGCTGGATCTATCTGCTGCTTTTGACACTGTCAATCACCAGATCCTCCTGTCCGCCCTCTCAACATCAGAAAGATCAGGCCCTTTCTAACGGAGCATGCTGCGCAACTCCTTGTCCAGGCCCTTGTCATCTCTAGGCTGGACTACTGCAATGCTCTTCTGGCTGGACTTCCATCAAGCACAATCAAACCTCTACAAATGATTCAGAATGCAGCGGCACAACTGGTCTTCAACGAGCCCAAAAGAGCCCATGTTACACCTCTCTTTATCTCCTTGCACTGGCTGCCGGTTGCGGCTCGCATCAAGTTCAAGACATTGATGCTTACATATAGAACAGCCACAGGCTCAGCACCAGCCTACTTCCACTCACTACTACGAATCTACATCCCCTCCAGAAGTCTGAGATCCGCTAGTGAGCGACGCCTCGTGGTACCATCACAGAGAGGCTCAAAATCACTTTCCAGAACATTCTCGTTAACCGTTCCTGGCTAGTGGGATGATCTTCCCACCCCAGTCCGGAATGCTGAATCCCTGACAATTTTCAAGCGACAGCTGAAAGCTCATCTCTTTAAACGCTACTTGACTTCATCTAAAAAACAAAAAAAAAAACTTTTTCTTTCTCTTTATTTATTCCTTCCCGTTTCTAGCTTGTACTGATTTGAACAATGCCTAAAACTTGGTATTTCAAGCACTTCCTGTGTCTGTTTGCCTCTTTAAGAAAAATCGCTTTATGTATTCCCCAATTGTAAGTCGCTTTGGATAAAAGCGTCTGCAAAATGACTAAATGTAAATGTAAATGTATTTCTCACAGCTTGCATGCTTTTGTAGATGTGAACTGCATAATAATAAGATTTCATGAATGCACAGTCGAGCACAAAAGACCAACGTCAGGGTCAAGATTTTCATTAAACAGTACATTAAAATTACAGTTTGTTTTTCACCAAACCATTTTGTATTCCCCCAGAACACTTGGAATATATGACACGTGTCACACTTTTGTATCTTTTGTAAATCTTGATGCTGGTCACTATCACTGCCATTATATGGCCAAGCATGAGCAGGCTTTTTTTATTCTCCTTTAGTGGTCCGAAAAACAAAGAAGGTCATACGGCATTTGAACAACACCAGGGTGCGTAATATGGAAGCATATGGGAAGCAAAATTCAATTTGAAATGTAATATGCAAAATGGCAATGCAATATGTAAAATAGCAATGTATTTCTGTATTTAAATGTACATTTCCCATACATATGTGCAATATTTAGTGCAAAATGAAAATTAAATTATATAATTTACATTTGCCATTTCCTACACTAGCTTTAATATGCAAATTAAAAACATTTTAACACTTTATAAGTTGCAAAATTAAAATGTATTACACAAATTGATTAGATATGTTTAACATGTCTAAGTAAAAACTGTAGCAGAATTATCATTTAAATGCTGTTTTTCCAAAATGCATTTAGACTTAGGGGTAGGACACTTGGGATTGCATTTTCATCATAATACCGCGTGATAATTGTAGCAAAATGCAGCGAGAACTTCAGAATGCATTCTGAGCCAAAGGGTAGCAAAATGGTGATTTAAATGTTTTTTATTTATTTTAAATGCATTGCCACTTACATATAAGATGTTTCAATTGCATTTTCATTTAATGTCACCCTATCTAGCTTTTTAGGTACTATAAAAACTACAGGTTTTTATTCTCGTTGCATCAACTCTCTCACTGCAAATGAGTTTTCTGGTATGTTTCATAGTAATGAAGTGTCTACAGCAATTTCAGTTTCTGCTGAACATTCTTCAAGTCCTGATGATCTAATTTCTCTTTAATTCTTCCTGTTCAGATATCCTGGACTCTATAGTCATTTATTTCCCGTGGGCCAGCTGCAGAGAGCACCTCGTCGGTCAGGACTTGTGCGCCTCTGTGAAGGGGCACATCGGAAGGTGGATGCTTGGGAAGCAGACGGCTGGACCTCAGCTTCTGTATGCCCATCTGCTTTGTCTGGCTGTTCTGCAAGGAAAGGATGTGCTTTACTTAAAATAAATGCTTATTTAAGTCATGCATTTTTGATTCAATAAAATTACCATGTTGTAATGGCTCCTGTATTAGGTCACTCTCACCCTCAGTCCTTTCTATAACGCCACTCAGGCTTAAATGTCCTATTATTGCAGCCATCCTTTCATTAAGGCAGATAGATCGGGTGACCCCTGTCCTCCACCTATCTCTTTTTAACTTTGTTAAAGTGAAATTATTCTTTTTGCATCAGCCTTCATATCAAACTACTTTTTTTTTTACTTCTGCAACTG